CACGGCAGATGAGCCCTCGTGTCACCCGGTTCCCTCACAACTGAATCACTCTGTAGCTCCCCCACCAAAAAAAAGGAGATCCTCGACCCCTCCATGCAAACTTAAGGGCCAAGGAGGCTGCCAATTTGCAAAACAAAAATATAACTAATAAGGTCATGCTGCTTCCTTAAAGCGTTTTGAAGTATGCAAAGAAAGATGGAAAAACACTTGAACAGAAAATGGAGAGAAAAGGTAGAACCTGAACGATGACTCAACAAACGCTGCAATAGAGTAATGGGCAAGAGGTATTTGAGCATTGAGTAGAGCATTTTTCTGAAGAGCTGTAAAACTTTCACGCAGGGCATTTTACACAACCATGTATCTGAAACTAAAACTTCTAAATTACTGGCCAAAAACGTAGGAAAAAAAAAAGTGACCTTAGCTACCAAAAATTATACTGTGGAAAAGATATTTTCATCTTTGCATGTTATAAACATACCACTCCAATTCCCCATTTTAGTGCAAATAGAACAAGATTTTTTTAAAACGGAATACTGTAATTCTTGACAGTTGCAAATAAATTCAGAACACACCGTTACCACGTGTACTCCTTCTGTTCTCAACTACAAGCTGATCCCACGAGGATTAAAATTTCCATTGCTCTAACATGAAGCTCTTCATGATTGTTCAAAATAGAAATGTAACATCCAGTGAAGCCATGCAAGGCCATTTTGCATTTCATAACTTCTCCCAAAAGCTGAGATCAGTGTTCAATCCCATCTACGCATGCATTCCTGAACATGCAACAGAAATACAACCAAGGTGTTTTTCACCCCTCAGTCCCTAAAGATGCCTCAATGATCATTATACATATTGCACACAAAAAAGAGCCTAATAGCCACTAGTGTCACCTTCCATTGTGATGCCTGCATCGCACAGTAAAGTTCTGATTACCTAATCAAGAACCGGTTTGTTTCAAAAAATATAAAATTGGTTTTCCAAGCCAGATTTACAGTATATAGCAAAATCAGCTTATTTTCATACACAACTGTTCCAAAGAGTTGAAAAATAAAATTAATTGCTTTTATTGTTAAATTGAGCATCCATATCACATGCCACATTGAATACATACAGTTGCAAGAAACTCAGTAACTACACTAATGCACTTACCCTTCTGCTACCTGCCACTTTCAAACTGAATAAAATTTTCAAGTTCTGCTCAGTTACACTCAGAAACTCCAACTCTGAGGCAGGAATGAAATCACTCCAAATTTACACTGTTTCATCTCAGATCAGAATCTGTTTCCCAAAGTATATTGCCTTTGGCTTAAGTAGCAGCAGAATTGGGCTTGCTTTTGCTAGGAAATGTCACCGCCACAGGAGGATGCCTATTGTTTTTAAACGTCACTGAGTAAGGCTGCGATTACCACTAAGCCCTTACACTGCTAGCTCCCTCCCTGTCCCTCCAGCTCCTATCACAGAATTGGCCTCGAGTGGGATTATTCCAGAGAAAGCCACAGCAAACAGGCTCCCGAGGGAAGGGCTGAGAGTAAGTCTGGCCTCTGAAATAAGCACCAGCTGTAGTTCCTGCCTCTCTGCTTGGGGAGCCCTCTGAGCACAATCACAAAGCAAAGCACAGCAACCTGCCCCTAGCTCCCCCAACATCCCAAATTAAGTCCTGGCACCATTAAACCTCTCCTTCTGATGCCTCTCTCCCACTGGAATGAAAACACAGTGTTCCAGTGAGGGCTATCAACCCAGAGCTGGTAAGAACCACTTACTTCAGCTGCCTCCTATGCGCTTTAACTGTCATTCCTAAGTAATCTGAATTTTTTTAAAAATCAACAAAAAAAGATAAATAATCATACTAATCACTATTAACAAGCTACTTCCGTTGGAAAGGGAAAAAAAATACATGTAATGCAGCTTCTTGTTTAGTGCAATTCAATCTTCTCAGACATTGTACTTTTTTTGCCCTACCTTTGGTATAGCTACAAGAGGAAAAAAAAAAAAGCACCTTTAAAACAGCAAAGCGGAAACTCACAGCATAGCCAATCGTATGAGGAAAAGCTGGAAGGTGTAAGGCCTGTAAAACAACTCAGCTGAAAAAGCTGGGAACCCAGAAGAGGAGGAACTAGGGACTGCTGGATTCCCACATGATTTAACAACTGAGTCATCATAGGGCGTTACACGAGAGGAGCCCAGAAGAATCATAGAGCAGTCAAACTTCTCCAGTTCAAAATCCTATTTTCCCGTTGCGTTTTAAACCTTCCCCGTCCCGTGTGCTGCTCTGTTGCTGACCCTCCGCTCTCATTTCCTACTTCCTCGCCCTTCCTCTTCTCGCGATGACCCCTGGGCTGGCCAGCAGTTCTGGGGTGCGAGGAGGGGTGCAGACATCGCCAGTGCAAGGCCAGGAGCAGAGCTCCTGCCCATCCTCAACACGACAGTGCACCGTGAGGAGGAGGAGGAGGAAGGCAGGGTGGCTGCTTGTGTGCTAGGGGCGTAACAGGTCACGGAGCAAAGAGAGGCCGGGGGCAAAAAACCCTTGGGAAGCAGCAAGAGCTGAGGGGCAGCAACCGGACACTTCAAATCCTTATTTCAGCAAGCTGCTGGATTTACTACTGCAATGTATTATTTATGACATGTCTTGATTTGGGTAAGGAAAAAAATGCAACCCTTTCTTATGTCTGGCAGAACTGTAGAGCCCTTTTTTTTTTTTTTTTTTTTTTTTTTTTTTTTCCCCCTTCTTCTTCATAAACTGTGTCTTTCTACGTGAGTTTTTGGAGCTATTACAAGACATGCCAGCCTCAGCTCCTAGGCCTCCTGTTTTTCCTCTTGGACAAGCACTCGGTGTCCTCAAGCCCCGCCACCCTGTCCCCTCAACCCATGCACACCGTGAGGATACGGCAGCAGCGCTCATGCTGCAGCACCAGTTCCAACACTAGAGATAAAGCTGTGTCAGCTTTTCTATTATGAACACTTTTTCCTGACCTTGTATCTCTGTGAAAAGTATGACACGGGTCCAAACCTCCCCCCCCACAACCAACCAGTCTTTCTGCCTCTCAGCAAGCAACCTTAATTTATGAATGTACAAACATCTCAATAAAGGTCATTACGTTACAGTTCTCTTATTTTAGACATATGAATTAAATAATATGGCAATGAAATGAGCAAATACTGTTTTCTAACCCTTTTTGGTACTTGCAAGAGAGTGACTGTAATTACAGCTTTAAAAACAATTATTTTTCTAGCTTTGGGGAAGGGTTAGTCTAGTATTTGAATTGTTTACACAGGCAGGCAAGAGTGCAATCTGTACACTTTAAGGACGCATATTCAGCATACTTCAGAAAGGCAACCCAGAAAAGCTCTATTATAGACACTGGATTCATCCAAGCCTACCTTCCCCATGAGTTTGCTCAAAGCAAGGAGGCAAAGACATACAAAATTAAGGATCTAAAGAACCTTGAAGATTCACAGTGTGACTGAAAGGTTTTTCAGGCTACACCATGAGAAGAACCCTAGACTGTCTGGAAGGTCATTTACTAACTACAACATGATAGGTCAAAAGAGTAGTTACTATTTGTGAGAGAGAGAGAGAATATATAAAAATCAATCCACCTACACTTAGAAGGTACTGTCAAAAAACCCCAAACACTAAAGACCAAAAACATACAAGTAAGACCAATCAAGGTCTGAGTAAGCCTGTGCCATGTACAAGAACATGGGAACTGGAAGTCAGCTGAATTACTGCACCCTTGGCTCACCCTGTTCTCACTACTCTAGTTCTGCCTTCCTGAGCCTACGAGCACCTCTCTGAAACCCCGGGACATGCTTCAGAGGGAGGGTTAGTCTCTGCTTTTGAAACCTCTGTCTAATATCCCACTGCAGGGCTAAGTATTTGTCAAGCAAATTCAAATCCAAGCGCTGCTACCGCTGAAAGCAGCTGTCAAATGGGAATTAAATTATCACCTGGGAATTAACTTTAAAGCTCAAATCCTCACCACAATTTCAGTTGCCTCATCCAGCAAGACAACAATACAGCAAGACGTTACTGACTCGACAAGTCAGCATCGAACGGGTCAAGCCAGAGTGCTGGGTGGAGTGGCAGTTCAGTAGTCACCGGGAGAAGGTCAGGCGTGAAAAGATAGAGCCCGCTCGCTGTGAGACCGAAAGATGCCCAGCACCCAGCGAGGGGCACTCGGAACCTGGCCACGTCGGTGACCATGGGAGCCCTGGCTACTGGGCAAAATTCCTGCAGAAATCCATCATATCTCATTCTCCCCGCTTTTTTTTTTTTTTTTTTTTTTAGTAGTAGAGCAAACCGTGCACGTCCTCTCCTGGTTTTAGTACTCACAAAGCTTTCTATCTTCATTTTACATGACCTGGTATTAAACTGTTTTCACCATCAGCCCAGATCACAAATCCTTTTTCAAGAAGAAAGCCAGGTGTGTGTTACACCTCTGCTTTTCAGGCTTCCAAGCCACTGTAAACAACAGGACGCTCAAAAGAAGTGAAGCTGGAAGACTTGTGATGGCATTATCAGCTGACAATAGGCATAACTGCATAATCACTTGGGGCTTTCCAAAAACTACCCACCAGCCGTACGTACGCAGGCACACATCTGTGCTCTGCCAGCATGCCCTATTTGTAAAAGCTGACTAACAGAGATACAAGCCCTGTTTTAAGAGTAAAATCACGATTAAATGTACCGCTGAGCACACATGGTGGTTATCCTCCTTCCTGAGACGCACAAACCTGACCTTTCCAGATACAACTTAAAAAAGAGTAACAATTAAGCAGAAATCTGTCTCTCTCACAGGGGTGGATTACAAAAGACGCAACCAAATCCCGAGGGCAATCTGAAGCACCGACGTGGCTTTCTAACACGTCCAAGGGTGCCCCGGTTCTCCATCCAGGCAGGACAAGACCACCTTGTCCCGAAGACGCCCCCTCCCAACTCGTGCAGCGGCTGGAACAATGGGATGGCTGCAGGGACCCCGAGGCAGGGAACCGGACCGTACCTTCGTGGGTAGGCTCTGGGTCGGGTGTCAGCGAGATGTCGTCCAGCTCGCGCAAGCAGAGCCATTCTCCATCCATCGACACTCGGAATTTGCAAAGATAGATGGTCTCCATGGCAGCCTGAGTGATCTTGTCTGTGGTGGGGGTTGGCATGTCGCTTTGAGGCGTCAGAGCAGACATGATGACTCAGCTGGTACAACAACAACGGGGGGGGGGAAAAAAAATAAGAACTAAAAAGAAAAGCTTTCTGAAGAAGAAAATAAGAACTACCTTGCTGTTAAAGGACAGATATGCTCAGGATCGCACAGACTGCTCTGGCCTTTTCATATATAGAGCAAGGTAAAAATGCTGCTCCTTCACGCTCGTCTTTTCCTCCCTCCTTTCCACCAACCGTCGTCGTCGTCTTCAGCTATGCTAGAGGTTATTGATCCTAAGCAACCACAGAAAAAACTGGCTTCTGCATCAAAGACAGGAGGAAAAAAGAAAAAAGGTAAAAAAAAAAAAAAAAAAAAAAAAAAAAAAAGGCAGATGAAGGATAAAGGGCGGCTTCCTCTGATGATTACCCAAGCAAAACCAAAGGAAGGCTGTCGAGACAGATATCCAGGCTTGCTGAAATCCAAGTGCTGGTCCCTTTCTTCCCCGACCAGCCAGGACAGCGAGTGCCGACAGGATTGGCTGTGCGCAGTAAGCAGGGTGTTGACCAAAATGGCTGACTAATGAACTGAGCTGAAAATCCAGGCTCATGTGATCAGCCGCTCCGAGCGCCGGGCAAGCAATTCCCAGGATGCTGCCTCGATGCTGCTGATGCAGGGACGGCAATTAGGCTCCCGTCATCCCCAGCACCTTCTCAGCAGGCTCTGCTAGCCAATTTGTGAGCAAGCGTAAGGCACCACGCAAATCTCTCACCGGTCGCCCCCATACTACAAAGGAGCGCAGACGAGCAGCGCGAGGAGTACAAAGACACATTTGTATTCCTTTCACATCCCTCGATGCCACTGCATGAATTAAATAAGCACCTTTGTTTTCACAGTAGGTGTGCGAGTCGCCGGTTATGTTTTATTCGCTGTGCAACCTTCCCAAAGGGTACCTTGCACCTAAAATTTCCCACATACCAAAAAAAAAAAAAAAAAGAAAAACCAACGTTAAGATGGACTTACCCTCTCAGGGAAACAATGAGGGGAAAAGAAGATCTGGCTCTAAGCACACCAGAGACCAAGAATCAAGCTCTTTTAGGAGGACACGTGCACATGTAAGAACAACAAGGGAGAAGAGCACACACATATAGCTACATGACTGAATCTGACACCTGAAAACCTCATGTGAAAATTGGTACTGCTCAGGTGAGGCTGGTGAAGAAGTATGACCCCTCAGCAGGCAGAGACAGGCTTTCAATCTCTCAAGAATAAGGTGACAGCACTGCTCTGCCCTGTCCCTTCCTGGCCAGATGAATCTCCCCCGTGTCCCCAACCCACGCAGCCCCACCTGTAAGGGACAGGAGGTCCCAGGTCAGACACCCTTATTATTCCCCAGGTCACTATTTAACCAGGGCACAGGACATGGTATCACCACCCACTACAGCTACGATAAATTAGCTTGTCTGACTTGACTGCTGCAGGGCTCCAGCACAGTTGTGGAGAGCAGATGCGTAGTACCCATCTGAAATGGATGCCCAGTCCCCCCCCATGCAAATTCAGAGAAGGCTGACTGTTCACCAAAACAGCAGATCAATAGCAACATATGAATGACTAATGCATGGGACCTTCATTACTCTCTGTACTTCTTTCCTGAAGAAATACTCAAAAGGATGTGAGTCTATTTCTTAGGGGTGTGAAATACAAAAACTGAGCGCTTGATACAGACTTCGGTATGCCAATGCATATAGCTTTTTGAAAAAAAAAAAAAAAAAACCAAAAAAACCAAAACTCATAAAACTGGAAAAAAGGGTTAAGAGCTGTTATTTCTAGCAGGCAAGAGGAAGCAGTTGCTTTCAGTGCAAACATCCTGCTTGCTGCATAACATTTTGACTCAGCAACTCTTTGCCCCCATTAGACTAAAACAAACAAAGAGCCATGCAGCGTATTATTACAGTGATGCAAAGGAGAGTTATTTCACAATGACAACAGTTACCATTGTTCTTTCTCGTTAAGAGAGAATGGGGTTTATAAGGCATGCTGACAGCCTTGTAACTCATACGATATTTATACATCATCAACGACAACCTCTAGTTTTAGCATTCACATTCTACCACTCTTTTAAAACCAGTGAAAATCGCCACACAGGCCGCTCCAGGAGAACAGTTCACTCTTGCTAACCTTTTGAAAGTATCTAAACAAACAGCTAATAACCAAAATAACCTCTTTAGAATCAATTAAGTACCATAAGGTACTGTGCAAACTATTATCCCATATATCTAATTATCAGATAGTTTAATTTCTTTTTGTTTTGAAACAATTAGGAATACAAACAGCATTAGGTGTAACCCTGCAGCTCCCCATTTCACAACAGGGGTCTCCAACTGAATTCCGCACTGGCAAGTGACACACATACCCGGATCACAGCAGAGGTCTGTTAAAAAATTAAGTAACTGCTCAACTTCAAGCGGTTTTCTTTTACACCATTTGCTGCTTCTTAACATGAAGAAATAGAAGCCGCCAGTCTGCCCCTTCCAGCTCAGCTGTATTTTCAGGCTCCTTTATGCAGTGTTCCTGCTGCAAATCCTCCATAGGGATATTTAAAGTACTTGAAAAATGTTTTTCAGTTTTGATTCATTTCAGTTTATTAGTATATTTTGCCCAAAACAAAGCTTTGGACACAGCAGACCACCTAACAGATTTTTAACAATTGCCACCTTTAAAGAAACTGAGCTACTTCATCGCTGCAAAACTGTACCTTTTACCCTCCTAAGAAACAAAAATTATATGAAACATGCATATGCTTAGAAACTCTGATGAGTAGTATTTGATTTTATTTTTTTTTTAAACCAACAATGACAAATTCAGAACTGGTCTTTCAAGCTGATTTGTTTTTTCTTGCAGAGTTTTGATATGGGTATTCGAAGAGGTAAGAAGTCTTCAGCTGCCCAGAGGAGGCTGTAATCTCCAAGTTCCAGTGTGTGGCTGAATTTACACCTACAGTACAAAAAAATAGAACTTGCCTTCCCAATACAGCTTTCAGAGTAAGCGCTAAAGCAAGCGGCAAAACCATAACAAAGGTGGGTGATGTCCATATGTCAGCTACAGTACTATGGGAACATAACAACTCTACTTAGCACAGGAAAACAAAAAACCAAAACAAATCCAAAAAAGCCCCAGACAGGAACTACCCTACAACTTACTGACCTGCTAATCTTTTATCATCCCCTGGAGATCGCAGGGCAAACCTTCGCCTGCCCTCATCCAGTGCCTCAAAATGATAAAGCAACAAAGCACCTTATAAAGAAACCACAGAAAGGTACCAAATATTGGTATTTTCATAAAGGCTTTGATAAAACTACCGTGCAGCTCAAGGCCAACTGATAAAGCTCCATCAGGTTTCAATGAGTCATCAATGGACAAAAGAAACCCAAGGGTAGGTATAAATGAAAAGGAGGTTATTAACCAAGAACCACTTTCTCAATCTCAAACAAGTCAGACAGCCTCGACTGGTCTTACAAAACCTTCCTATTAGCCACAATTTGGCAAAACTGGATAGAGGCTTTTTCTAGATTACAAAACAAGGCAGTTGTTTGCAAAAATGTTTTCAAGATAAAAGAATTAGAAATTGACTGTGTTGGAATTTTAAGATTAACCACCTGAAAGCAAAGCACTCCATCAGCCCAAGTATTTGCAAGCTCAGCTGTACTGTAAAGTCTTTTTAGTTTCAAAAGCTGAATAAATCAGAATAATCTAAGCAATAAAACCAAAACAAATTCCCAGAGAACTTGTCGGGCTCCAGGGGGCACCTCTGGGTGTACTTTTACTTGCAGTGCCAGCAAGCTTGGCCTGCAAGCAAGCTGAGTTCCAACCATTTGGAGAAAATCTTCCCTGATCGCTGTGCAGAGATTGCAAAGCAGCTGTACAGCAGAATGGCAAAGTTAGCAGACAAAATTATTGCTTCAGATGACTGTGCTGCTTCTGGTTATTTAAAACTGCAGGAGACCACAGAACCAAAAACAAAAAAAAAAAAAGCCCTCACCAATATTGTACAAATGGGAAGCACTGCTGAAGGAAACTGCCCAATGGCAACAGCTCAGATGCACCACTGAGATCCAAAATTGCTGCTCAGGGCATCTGAGAGACTACAACGCCAGAGGTAACTCCATGCAAACAGGATAAAAACTATGAAGAAACCCAAGCCTTTATATCGCCGTCTAAGAGAAGCATGAATCACGAGCAGGTTCTCACAAGTTTTTCTAATGCCTGTAACCTGCTTGTGGCTGCTGTATCAGATCAGGCAGCCTGACAGTCTGGTCCAGTACGGCAGCTCCCACGTTTCAAAGGGAAACAATTCTAATCTTGCTATCTTCTGCCCATGCTCTTGCTTGGCAGGTAAAAACCTCATAGTAGCAAACCTACGAACACGACTTTTGCTCCCGCACCCTCTCTTTCCTTCACTTCTGTTTCAGCTCCGCACCAACATGCCGTCCAACTACCCCTTAAGCATCAGAAGCTGCACCGGTCGTGACGACTAGAAAAACCTCATCAGGGCTACGCCTGGTTCAAGTGCCAGCGGAGCTGCTGTTCCACAACACACACGCTCACACTCCTTCCAAGAGCCTCCCTCCAGGCAATCTGTTACGTGGAATGTAAGCTAAGAAGATAAAGTTAGTAACCCAGCATCTACCTTGCAAAGTCTGTTTCTGATTCTCCCGCCAGCACAGGTATGTACATTCCCTCAGACAACAGCGGCACTTTGAACCCTGCATGCTAAAAACAGGAGCGAGCAAAAGAGAGTTTAACAACCGAAAAAACAGTGACACCCTTGCTTAATTCCGGGACTAAGTGACAAACTGGTTTTTGTCTACCTACTGTGAAATACAGAGATATTACGAAAGGATTTAAGTTAACTCCCATAACTGAGGGTAGAATTCAAAAAGGGGAAGGAAAAGTCTACTAGAAGTATCATGATATCTGGTGGGCCTTCACTGGGAACAAGGAAAGGTTTTGGAGGTTTTATGTTTGGTTTTGTTTTCTTTTCTTTTCTTTTTTAAAGACAGCACAGTCCAATAGTTTGTACTGTATTTAAAGAGCATTCTAAGGTTTTATGGCAGCTCAGCATGTTTAAGTAAACCTCCTTGTTCCTTCTGCCTGTCTGGAACTATCTGCATCAAAAAAGCAGGTGCTGCTGGCATGAAAAGCTTTTGCAGTCTCCTTCCCTGAGCAGCTCTCGCCTTCATCTGATGTTTGGAATCATCTCATCTCTCTTACCTTGTAAATAAGAAAACCTGGATAAGATGGAGAAAGATTAGTTGAGGGGGGGGAAAATACATCTGAGACAAAATCTGTAGAGAAAAAGTTGTAATAGAGACACGCTCTTGATTTCATTCTTTGTCACTGCATATTCTTTACATACGTTCATCGCCAGGCTCCAGCTCACCAGCACCACAGCACTTGCACCACTGTGCTGGAAACACCAAGTTGTGCCTCCACCTGGGTGCAAATAACCCTCAGGGTGACCTCTACTGCTGGAAGCAGCAGTCCACATGCAGAATCCCGTCAAGCCACCGCTCTCCAGAAAAACCCTAACACAGAGCTATGGAGGCTGTCATCACTTCACAAACAGCTAACATCCTTTCCCAGATTTTCAACTATAAAATTAAAAAGCAGTCCTTCAGTCCTGTGGCAAGACCTCTCAAGAGAGAACAGTTTAATGATTGCATCATAACAGGAAAATAATAATAATAAAAAAAGATTACT